AGTGAAGCCTTCTCGCAGCCATGAGTGGAGCTCTCAGAAGGAGAGAAGAGTCTTCACAAACCTCAACTCAATAGACAAATGGCTGCAGCCCACGTCCCTCCCTCCTGGTTTCACTGGAAGATGGAAATTACCCCCCATAGGACAAAGACAGAGAAGCCACATCGCCAACCTCGGCCAGATCGTCTCACAAACCAGAAAGAATTAACCCCACAAAGGTGGCTCTTGGGCAACCTTAACAGCAACCATAACTGTTTTGTAAATGCAACTGCTACAAAAAGGGAGAAAAATCTGGATGACTAAGCATCTGAATAGCTGGAAAATGAGTCTTCCTTCTACCCATCCCTTCATCCGGAATTGCAAGATGATGGTGTAGATTAACAGCATCCCCAAAGCCATCAAGTTAATGAGTAAAGTAAATCCTCAGCCCTTTTACCCCTGATTTCTATCTTCCCCACTGTCATTACCATCTTGCTTAGAAAATCATTTCTGGATCTTTCTGCAGCTCCACAGAGCTAGATTGTCACTTAAAGGCCTGTTAACCAAGTGGAATTGCTGTTCTGTAGCTGCAAATAAAACTCACGCGCAGCACAGATGAGTTTATCATGGGAGCTGATTAATTAGCAGTTCTGAAGCCCTGAAAATAGAGTTCCATTTCATTACCATAGACACATACTTTTTGGTGAATATTGTTGTGATTTAAAGACACTTGCTCCAAGGGTGGGAAAGATATGGAGGTGAAAGAGAAACGGAATGTCTATGTGCTTACCAGGAGTGAGATCAAATATAATATTTTTTTTTAATAATGGAATGATTAAGCTTCCCTTAGGATGGTCGGGCCTGCCAGGCTCTGTTCCCCGGGCCCGTGCATTTTTGTGTGCACTAGCTCACTTGCTCCTTGACCATGGTAGAATATGGGCACCATTACTGTTTGCATTTTGTATGGGAGGAAATGGAGGCACACACTGAAAAGTACAGCTTAAATTAACACTCGGCTGACTCCAGAGCAGTAGTTCTTAACTGGGAACATATGCAAGTCTGAAAATATTTTTGATTGTCTTGAGTTGGTTGTCATTGCTGGGTATCACAAGTCTGGGTGTATCTAGTGGGCAGTGGCTCAACAGCCTATCCAGTGCATAGGACATCCTCTCACAGCAAAGAATTACCTTTCCAAAATGTTGGTAGTCAAGAAAACTTAGGGCCTGGGATTTAGCTCAGTGGTGCTGCTGCCTGCCTCAAAAGTGCAAGGTCCTGAGTTCAATCCTCACTACAAAAAAAAAAAGACCTTACTCCAAAGCCTGCTTTTTTGTTATTGTGAGCAAAGCCTGGCTCAAAGGAAAGGGTATACTGCTTAAGAGCCAAGTCACCAATGATCATGCCCTCCTATGTATTAGCTGTGTTGGTTCCTGGCAGGTCACCTCTGCAGCAAAAATCCATATACAAGATTGATAGTGCTTTACCTGCTTAAAACCTGTATTTTACCTCTTAAAACCTCTGAGAGATTGCAGGTTCTAGAGATTTGCAGAAAATCTCTAGAAATAATAATTAAACATTCAGCATTGGGCCAGAAATACAAAATGCATCAATTGAATAGAAATGAAAGACATCTATGTACATACAGGAATTTAAGACAAGGTAAAAATATCCTTCCCAAGCTGAGGAACTAATTGAAAAGCAGCAGACAGAGGTATGCATTCATTCATTGTTTTAGCTGTGCAACTTTTTCAATAAATCTAAAAATATCTTAACATTAAAAGCTTATTTTTATAAAGCAGAATGAAAAATTAATCTTTAGAAGAAAAATTAACATCAGATCTGTGTCACATCATATATAAAATATACATCAAATGGATGTATAGGAATGCATATAAACAATATGATAACAAAAACTATGAGTTTCAAAAGTAAATGCAAGGATAAATCTTTGCACCATTGAAAAAGGCCTTTCTCGGGCTGGGGATTTAGCTCAGTGGTTTCGCCGCCTGCTGCGCAAGTGCAAGGACCCAAGTTCGATCCCCAGTACCAAAAAAAAAAATTACATTTGGGAAAAAGGCCTTTCTCAACAAGACACAAAAAGTGTTAAGGAAAAAAACAAAAGGTTTGGGACTCTGAGGCAAAACATGCAAAGAATATCAGTTCAGGAAAGAAATAATCAGAATTGTTTTTGCATCTTTCCTGTTGCAGAAATTTCACAGCCAAATGGAAGGGACAGTGGGGAATGCCCACTGGCATTCCACTCTATCAGACTTAGGTAGGAAATTCTCCCTTTTTATCTCTGTTCCTGGTGTCACTGGTTTAAAAGAAGTCTCTGGGAAAGGGAATGGAATGCTATTTGTACATAGGTGCGACCCTAGAGCATAATTCTGCTAGAGCAATGGGCTCTTTTCTTACTTTTTTTTTGTTCAGTGCTGGAGATTGAAGCCAGAGCCTCGCACATGCTAGGCAAGTGCTCTAGTCTGCTTACTACTGAGCTATATCCCCAACCCTTTTTTATTTTTTACTTTGAGACAGGGTCTCCCTGAATTGCCCAGGATGGAATCAAACTTAATGATCCTCCTGCTTCAGCCTCCCAGGGTGCTAAGATTACAGGTATGTACCCCCACCTGGCTCTTGTTATTTTAATGCCTGAACTAACCTGGGGAACATTTTCTCCAGCAGTGAAAGTGGCTGGTTCCAAAGATTGTAGCCAGACAACTGCTGATCCCTGTAGAGCAGGCTGACCCCAAAGTAGAGGCACTGGATGATTCTCTCCAGGACCCCAAAAGAAAACTAGAGAATATGTTCAGCTCCACATCCTGAACTCTGGAATTTGCATCCCTAGAGATCTGCAGATTTTTATGCCCAAGCCTTGAAAAGGGAAGGGAAAGGGGACGTAAAAAGAATTAAGATATATGTATTTTGTATGTGTGCCAACTCCCCAAAATGAATGTAATCATTATGTACTGAAAACATGTACTAATAAAAATAAAATTTTGAAGAAAACAAAGAATTCACACAGATTTCAGAGATTAAAGCATAAGGCCTCCAAGGGAAAAAATTAAATAAAAGTTCAAGACAGTCATTTTTTAAGCATGAACTTATGTCTTTAGCCCCAACGGGAATGTGTGTAAGTAGTCATATCCTTAAGGACCTAAGGTTTTAGCAGAGTGAGGAAACTAAAAAAGATCTACAATACAAGACCATTTGCCACCTCTTTCACTTTATATCCATCTAGTAGTTTTCTCCTACGATCTTTCCTTAGAGAAGCAAAGATTCCCTTCTGGAGAAAGAGTAATAAATAGTAGGTAGAACTGTATCTGAACCAGTCTGGCCTTGAGTGCCTCTTGGGCAGTAGGGCCCTGAATAGGTTACTTGATCTCTTTGAGTCTCAGTTTCTTAGTAGTCAAATGGATACAACTGATTCACCCAACAAATATTAAATAAGCTCTCAGAGAATGTGCCAATTTGCTGTCACAAATTTCATGAAAAATTATGTAAGACGGCACAGGAAAACTGTTTCCAAATTGGAAATCATAAAAATATTTCATAAGTTACTGTTGAAAATAAAACAATTTCAATTGTTATTAAAATTAAAGCAGAAAATCCAATATTTTATAAAATATGCACTTTTTTTAAAAAGGCTGAAGACCAAAATAAGGAACTTTTGTCAGACTGTGGAACAACCAGAAGGAACAATGGCTATTACAATTCCTTTGGGGACCATACCCCAAGACTATACATTGCTGGCAGCAGAGAAAACAAATGTTTACTACAGATTTAGCTCGAAGGCCTATACTCAGAAGACCACCCAAACTAATCCAGCTCACACAGACCCCACGGGGCCTTTGGGGAAAGTGAGGTGACAGGTATTCAGAGGTGAGATAGGATCAAGAATGTAGCACAGAACAGTCCATCCCTCATCTCGGCCCACCCCACGGCTGGGCCTCCTTGTGGCTCCAAAGTGAAGACCAGACGTCCCTGCTCCCCATAACAAACCAAGCCATCTGGGCAGATGGAGGCCTCCAAACTCCTGCCTGCTTCCTGAGCTCCACCACCATTTATCTGTTCAGAGAAGGACTGTGTGTCAGGACAGAAATGAGATTTTACGTGAATAAATGAAGTTCATTCTGTTCCAAAGCCCATTGTCAATATAACAGGACAAAAGCATCAGCCCAGTGCTGCAATCAGCAGGATGTGGAGCAAAACCAAAGCCCAACAAGCACAGAAAAATGAAACAACATACACTGAACTTCAAATGACAAGAAAATACAATAGTACAATAATTAAGCCCATCAAACCTTCAAGAAAGAAAAGCTACACTATTTGCCAATTAACAGATGTCAAGTGCAGTATGTAAAAGATAATTTTTAAAGATAAAAAATAAAATCTCTTAATATCCAAAGACAAGACTGAATGAGATTGAGAACAGGAATACAATAAACAAATAGTGGCCATAGCCCCCCAGCCCCAAGTGCCCCAAATGGACAATATTTAGTGTGCAAGATTTTCACGTCGTCACTTCGAGAAAACTGATGCCTTGCCAAGCAGAGGCCATAGTCGACAACTCCAGGGCTTAAAACATATTTTATAGCCTGTATAGGTTCTAAAGCACTTCCCAAACCCACCCCACCCTGAAAAGAAAAGAACAAAACGTTGAAAATATTTTCCTTTTGGAAATGGACCTGGATCTTAACTAAAGTGCTGGAAATATTTCCAAGCCACTGACAAAAGTCTCACCTACTTTAACTCTAACGTCATTCAGTATGCCTTAAACATCTTGATTATATCTTTAATGTGCCATTTATTCTGCAATAATCCACTGTACAAAAAGCCTGCTGCCTCTCAAGCTGACGATAAGTACATAATAAATCACCTTGGGATGATTTTTTCTCCAGCTCCTCCTTACAGTGAGCTCCTAAATTTCATTTCACCTTTTCCAGTTCAGCCTCCCCTTCTCCCCCTCCTCATTTTGCTCCTGTCCAACTAGCCCTCCCCTTTGGCACAGCCTCCTGCCCAGATTTTACCACTCCAGTCGGCCCTGCTGCTGCCATCCTGGGAGAGGAGAGCGCTGCCTAGGGTCTTGGAGGAAGAGCATCTTTCTGGTGAAAGGCTCTTGCTCACAAGGGTAGAGGAAGGCACCCGGAGGCCTATTTGCATATGCTTTTATTCCATTTCCACACCCTGCACGCTAACGCTCGCTGGAAAGTCCCTTCTCAATTCCCTCCTCGTGGCAGCCAGGGAGGAAGAGGCTGGGCCAGAATGGAAGGTTCCATCCCTGCAGTGTCAGCATCTCCCCGGGGCAAGCCTCCAGCTCCCTCCAGATGCCCACGGAGCCTAGACCCGCGCCAGTGCCAACGGGGAGGAGGGGGCGGCCCCTGTCCAGCCCTGGCTGAGAGCTGCAGGCTGCTCTGGCCTGCACGCTCCGGGGAGCTCTCTGCAGCCTGCGGGCTCCTCCAGCCTCCCCCGAGGAAGTTCTGGTCAGGCGCTGGGTCCCGGGCTTCCTGTCTGTACCCTCCTCAGCCCTGTGGGGAAATCCCAGACCTCTATCGGCTGCCCAATGAGCCTGTTGGCTTTTCAAGTATGCGCAGGGCTGAGTTTCGTCCAAAACCTCAATGTATGGTTAACCAAAAACAAATAAATAACGTGTGCAGGCAGGGGGGTGGGAAAGAATTGGCCTTTAGGGTAAGGATCAGGCAGAAAACTCTTTTTTCCTTGCTGAGGATACAGGAGGCTTGGATTTGCTCAACATTTAAACAAACAGATGCTTCCAATAGTTAATTGACTGCTTGAAGTGAGCAGCACCCCACCAGGCTGAAGATTCAGACAGCTCTTCCCAGGCAGGCTTCTCCAGAAACACGGAAATTCAAGGCAGTCTTGAGACTCAGCTAGTAACAGTGAAAGCCACATTTCAATCGCACCAGGCCCTCTGATGAATGTTTCACAGGCATGATCTTTGCTAATCTCACAGCAATCCGATCGGGGAGCCAGTAATATGCTCCCCATGTTACTGACACAGAACTTATCTTTGGCGAGGTTAGGGGATTGCCTAAGGTCACACTGTTAGTAAGTGCTTCCATGGGAGGCCTCTTTTGCTCCTTTTTCCAAACTGGAAAGGCCTTGAAAGTCCCTTGGAATCTGCTACTGCGAAATCAAATTCCAACTCAGGGTAAATATTGTCCCTTCCCTGTACAATCTGCCCACGGACAAAAAAGAGACAGTTCAGGACTTTGCCTCAGGAACAGGCAGTCATGTCTGGCAGCACTCCCTGTTCATCTTGTGGCCTCCAAAAAGGTTTGTTTGAACTTCTGTTACAGGTAGGTTTTCAGAAAGCAAATATTTATTGAGCACCTATTATATGCCAGACACCATGCAGATATACATGTCCTTATTTAATCCTCCCCACAACTCTAAAAGGTAGATACTATTTTTATCTCAACATTACAAATGAGGAAACTAAAGGTGGGAGATTTTAAAATTTGCCCGAGGTTTCAAAGCTAGAAATGAGTAGAGCCAGGTTTTGAAACAATCTTTGCTGTCCCCAAATTTCTGATGGCCCCAAACACTGCGTTACCTCTAGAAAGGTCCACAACAGAGCTATTTCATTACATGATATTCCCTCCCTCTGCAAAGGGGGCTTCATGGCAGTATAGCCAATGGCCCAGTTTCTGAGTCCTGGCTCTGAGCAGACCGGTCACACACTAATCAGCACTGCTAAAGCACCGCGTGGGTGGAAGGGAGGAAACGCAGGGTGACTGGGAGCGTTCAGCACATCCCGTGTCGGATTAAGGAGTGAATGACCTATCTGTGAAGCAGTATGAAAGGTGAAGAGTTGCATCGTGTCAATTAGTGACAATCCTATTTAAAGAAATCTGAAGTCATTTGGATCCATTAACTGGGGCAAGACTCTCACGGAATAAACAGGAGGAACTCAGGCCTGGCTGGTTTCTGCTAACAAGTTCATTACCCCATTCCAGTCCGTTAACACCTGGGGCTCATTTGGTAAGGTTTTCCAGAAACAGCCAAGTGGACACTTGGAGCCAGGATTTAAATAGCTCTAGGCTGCCAGCTATATGCATTGTCTGCCTTTGGCCTGGGGAAGAATAGACTAAAATCAGTGAGGCAGCCTTTCATGGATGCTATATGAATTGAGCCTTGTCCTTTTATAATCAAAATTTATACCATATTCTTTTTATTCTCTTGGGGGTGGGTTAGGTGGAGTGAGTTTAAATACACTGCTCATAGAATTTACAAGATGTGCCAGGCAAAGTGCTGTGCAGTTTACCACTGTAATCTCATTTAATCCTTACCAGATGGGTTTTACCATCTCCATTTTACAGATGAAAATGTGCAGAAAACAGAGACTCCGAGAAGTTAATACTTTAAAGAGTTAGGAGCTGCTGAGAGGAGGGGAATTGTTCTATGGGTATGAATCTTCTTTGGTATCAAGAATGCTGTTTCCTAGTTTAGAACCCCAGCCTGAACGCCATGCTGCATTTCCTAGGTGTACGTGCTCACAAATACAAAACTGGAAGGAGTTATTGCCTCAGAGCTATTCTCTTCTCTGTCACTTGGGAGGCAATCTTCAACATTGATATGAAGAGTTTATGAGCTCTGAATTGTTTTTAATTCCAAGTGACATCACCTTCCTTTTGAATACCTCATTCCTCACCCCTCTCCCACTTCACCATTGAATTAGGCAATTTAAAATGCACTCGTATCCTACAGTAGTAAATATCACATACAGGCTCTCCTCAAATTTGCACAGTACTGTGTTAATTGAAATTATAAATATCAGAACCCGGAACTCACCTTCCATAGTTGTATGATAACGTGGATATATGAGTTAAAGTTGATAAATTAACACAATGTTATAATGTTGCATGGGGGAACGTTTAATAAAACATTCATCAGCTTTGATTTTATAGTTGCTTTCTTTAGATTTTTTTTTATTAGCATATGTCTGTGATATATAATAAATATATTCATGATGGGCCTTTTTGAATTCTGGGGTCAACCAATCTTTTTAACCCATGACCCCTGAAAAGTCTATGCCCACAGTTCCTAATGTTGTACCTGCCCGTGTTGAAGGCGTGATTTTACTCCATGTCTTATGTGGCTCATAGAGGGGATGGCTCACCTCTAATGTCACCATGTGGGTTCAGAGATGTGTGAATGCAGAAGGAGAAAGATGACCCTGCTGTGCCCCAGATGAGATGTCTCCACCTGGGTTCTGTGGTCCTCAGAACCTTTGATACGGTATTTGGAAACTGTGACATGGCTGGCTGAGAAAAATACCTATAAGCATCATGACAATGCTTTTGTTTTGAGCCCACTCAGTAGCTGAGATGCTTGGGGCTCTTGAACCCAGGAAATTCCCCAATAAACAGCTGCTGTTGGGTGAGGGTTAGAGCAAGTACCTTGATCAGCTTCCAATTCAGCTGGGGTCCGGGGTTAGAATTCAGCTCACCTTTGTCTCTGTGTGTTCAAGGGAGAGTTAGTAACCTTGCTGGACTCCTTCTGTGAAAAGGAAAATGGCATGTACCAAATTCCCTCTGCCCTCGGTGCTGCATACAAATAGTGATCCTCACAACATCCCTGACTGCCCCCAAACCTGCCTTCTTTCTCCCTTCATAACAGTACTATCTGGCGTGCATACCTTGGACAATGCTTTGAACTTTTCATCTGTGCAAAACTGATTTACGCAAGTGTAAACACAACAGGAAGGAGCCAAAAGAACGAGGCCTAACCAGGCATGGTGGAGCACAGCTGCAGCCCAAGTTCTTTAGGAGGCTGAGGCAAGAGAATTGCAAGTTTGGGGCCAGCCTGGGCAACAGTGAGATCCTCCCTCAAAATACAGCATAATGAAAAGCAAAATAAAAGGCAGATAAGAGGAAACAGAAAGACAGATCTTTTGCAAGAGGGAAAGTGACCAAGAGAGGAAGGGAGGGAGGAGGAAGGGAGGAGGGACATGGAGAAAAGAATTAAGATATGATATATATATATAGATAGATATGCCCACTCCCATAATGAATGTAATCATTATGTACTGCAAACAAATAGAATTTTTTTTAATTTTAAAACAACATAAAAAGGATGTACAGTGATACCTCGGTTATCAAATTCAATTCGTTCCAAATTTGTGTTCAAACACTGAAGAGTTCAAGAACTGAACATATTTTTCCCATAAGAAATAATGAAAAACCAAACAATTGGTTCTGAGGCCCAAAAATTACACTTATAATTCACTTTTTAGGACTTTAACAAATTTTGCAATGATTTCTTTCTTTAACTCTATTGTAGTTCTCACAGTTTTTCTCTTAGCTTTACTGCTGGTATCACTAACATTCTTTGGAGCCATAGTTATGATATCTTACACAAAGTGCAAAAATAAGCACAGTGACAAATGTTTTAATGCAAGCGCTATATGTTGTCTGGGTGAGAGCAACTCTTAGGCTGAAGCATCACCCTCTTGTGTCCATGGCGAGACATGATGTATGACTTACTCAGCCCATGCAGGTTTTTTCAAGTCGGATTTTCAGTTCGACTATGGAGCAAGGTTAAGAAACATTGAGCAGATTATTTTCAAACTTTGCTGTTCGAGTAGAGGAAAGTTGGAGCTTGGAGCTATGCCACAACCAGAGTATCATGGTAGCTTGACAGTAGAGTCCCTCTGGATTAGGGAAGGGGGCAGGCCTTAGGTTCTAGGTGAGAAAAACTAACAGCCTTGCTTAGTACACTTCTAATAAAATCAAGAATAATACCTACCTGACCAAGTTTCACTAAAGATTAAATTAATTTTAATAGCAAGTAAAGTAAGCAACATAATACATAGTCCATAGCAGGCTCCGAAAATAACAGCAAAACGTCACCTATTATTTATTTTCCAGAGAACTGGATCTCAGGTAGAGATCATACCACACTGCTGATATCTATTATGCAGGAAAACAATAATAATGCCAGTTGCACTCCTGTATTATGAGAGTCCTAAAACCGGAAATACATACATGGGAAATTCCGCATTTCTGGACATGGAAACAAAGGAAATGGACCTGTCTTAGTCCATTTCCTGTTGCTATAACAAAATACCTGTGGCTGGGTGCTTTCTAAAGAAAAGGAGTTTGTTTAGCTTAATGTTTTGGAAGCTAAAAATCCAAGATTGGGCAGGCCCATCAGTTCAGCCGTGGTGAGATTCCATTTGGCTGCTTCACAACATGGCAGATGCCATCATGGTGGTAACACGTGTGAGAGGGAGGGAGAGATCAAAAGGGGAGACAGGGATCCAGCTAGCAGTAGAGTATTGCTCTTTTATAACAATTCACTCTTGAGAGAACTCAGCAGAGAGTGATGCCCCATGACTGAATTACCTTCCATGAGGCCACTTCTGGTCTGAAGTTTCCACAGTCTCTGAACATCACTACCCCAGGGACAAAGCCTCAAGTACGTGAACCTTGGGGGACCAATTTAACCCAAACCATAGGAAAGCCTAAAAGTACACCATCCCCACCTTGAGAAGTGGACGGATGCTGGGGCA